TTTTTTCTTTATATTTTCCTTCCCCTTTCTTTTCGTCTCTCTTTTTCCTTCCATCTCTTTCTCGAATATTTTTCTTTTTCTCTCACACTTTCTCTTTATATTTTCCTTTCTCTTTCTCTTTCTCAATCTTCTCTCTCTCTCTCTCTCTCTCTAACTGTGTCTCTCTGTTTTCGTTTATCTCTTTCTCTCACATTCATTTTTTTCTCACTTTTTCTCTTTGCCCTCTCTTTCACTCGACATATTTCTCTCTCGTTTTTTACTACCTTTCCCTTTCTTCCATTCTCTCTTTTTATCTCTCCATCTGTTTCTTCCCCTCTCACTTTCTCTCTCTTTCTTCCATGCATTTTCTCTCACGTTTTCTTTCTCTTTCTTTTTTCTTCTTTCTACGACGCTCGCTTTTTATGTCATTCGCAGTCACTGGACTGCCTAAATACATAATATATATGTGTATGTGTGCGCGTGTGAAAAATTTATCAGATTTAACCTGTATAAAATACAATACTTATAAATGTAAAAGATAAGAGAAAACTGTAATATCAGCCGATACGTTTCGTCCAATGTGGACTTTTTCAAGGCAAAACGAAATGAATTTATTAAAGCAAGGTAACTACTAACAACAAAATAAAATGTCCTTAGAAAATAAAAGAATTTAGAAAACGCTACTAAAATCATATTGTCAACTGAAAATTACGTCATTTACTGTCACGGGTGGAAATATAGTTTTTATTATTTTGTTGACGGATTCGATCATTTTTTTTTTTATTTCTTGATACAGTTGCGTACGTTTGCCTGGGAGAAAAATAATTTTGTTAGCAAAGGTGATATAGGTAAAAAGCCTGGGAATATTTGGATAATATTCAACATGCGATTAAATTTTTTAATTTTTTTTTTTATTTTTGAATAAGTTCGTATAAGTATTTTATTCTCTGAACAGGGCATAAACTTTGTAGAATTTCTCCAAATTTTCTACATATACGGGTGGTTTCGGCTGTTCTTTCAGCCATTATCGAGGATGATTTTTATTTTTTATGTTTAACTGAGTGTATGGATTTATATGTATATATATATATAGAGAGAGGTATATGAACTTTTATTTCCCAAACAATGGTCAGCACATTGTGGCCGTGTTCATAGTTGATGTTATTGCGTGCTGGTATTTTCGTTATTATTATCAGGGCTTCCATTATTTTTAATCTCTTTTTACATGTGGATGAGGCATGTATTTTCTACAAAGTTTGAGAACAGCAGAGAGTTTGGAAGATTATAGATTCCGCACGTACTCCCTAATAGTCTTAGAGATAGGTGGAATAATTAGAATAATAAAATACAATAATCAAAGCCAACTTTTGGATCAGAGGAATGAATTAGTATTAAATTGTCGACATAAAAACAAATTCAGATTTCCATAATATAGGTTTAACTTAATTAGCTACTATATTTCCATAATATTCTCTCCCCTCTATCTTTTCAAATATCGAAAGTATAACTCATTTTAATTTCTATATTACCCTTCTATAAACTCTTTACACTATATTAATTATAATTTATAAACTTTCCCCTACTCTAAGATCTCCCAACTCATTTCATTAATCCCTTACATCCTTTTATCTATATATTTTAAAGTTATTTTTAAATCCCTTTTTATTCCTCTTTTAATTTTAAATTAATATTTCATTCTTCATACAAACCCAAATTAATGTCATAAGGTTATTATTCGGGTTTAATTTTATAAAACATTTCCCCTTTAAGACAAATAACTTACACCCTCCCCTAAACCCTGTCTCGTGCCTTTCGTCTGACTGAAACATTGAAATGGATAAATTCTGTATTAGTTTTTTGACTGGTTGTTTCCTCCTTTCTATTTCTGACACAAACTCAATCCACACCAGAGTCATACGACCGATATTTTCATCTACCGAAATAGGCTATTCCCCATGTGAGTTGATTTGGGATTTTATTGGATATTAATTATATTGCTGTGTAATAATACATACATTGAAATCTTTTTGCGGATCAATTTTAATATTTATATTACTAGGATTCACTTGGATTATACATTAACGGATTTGTTAACTTTACTATATGTATATATGTATATATATATATATATATATATATATATATGTGTGTGTGCATTTGTGTGAGTTTGTGTGTGTGCATGTGTGTTATATATATATATATATATATATATATATATATATATATATATATATAATACCAAATCCATAGGCGGTAGGGATTGACTGACTATATGATAAATATTTAAGTTTTTCCTGATATATATATATATATATATATATATATATATATATATATATATATATATATATATATATATTGTTTCTTTGTTGTTATCTTGATGCAGACATAGCAAGACAAATGTAATGGATGAATTTCACTGAATTTATTTTATTAATATACTACAGTTAAATCAGTATGAAATGGTCATAAAATGATTATGGTGTAAATATATATATATATATATATATATATATATATATGTATGTATCGAGTTACGTCATAAGTAATTACTGTTTTGAGGAACCAATTGTAATGACGAAAGTATCATTCAAATTATGAATGCTACTTGGCAGTTAAGAATGAATGTGGAGCACCTTAAGATATCACAGTATCTTTTACATGGCAGTAACAGTGTATACTGTAGGTTATTGGAAAAATGTTGTTTTCCTTCATGACAACGTAAAACCCCGTACAATATCAATAACACAGGGGAAAAAACTTTTGAAATTCACTTGGTTTATTTTACCCTAGACACCATATTCACCTTTCCTTGCACCAACTGATTATTACCTTTTTCGATCGCTGCAAAACGCGTAGATGGGGAAAAACTTTTCCTAATAAAAAACAGATTCAAGAGTTTCACGAAAACTTTTTCACTTCAAACTGATAAGTGACAACAGGTCATTTGCAAAATAACGTCAGATATGTAATTGAATAAAATGTAATTTTCCTTTTATTTTGGAAGAATAAATTTCGAAAAACTAAAACGGAATCATTTGTGACTGACCCTGATATATACTTTTGTGCACTTAGTGACTCAGTACTCTTCAAAGACTTGTTCTTAGTCTGTTTAACTTATATATATATATATATATATATATATATATATATATATATATATATATATATATATATATATATGGGTAAAGCAAATGTACCGATTTACGCGCTATTTCGCTGTTGTGATACGTCTCTTTCTACACTTGTTCTTCTCACGGCCACAACTGGGCTGTTTTTTTTTTCCTTGCTGATGATTGCCGCGACTTGGGAATCAATGACCAATCCCACGCGAGACGAGAACGCGTGACGCGTAGATATCAGCTGAGCGAAAAGAATTGTGCAACGAAGCAACCTTTTGTAGATCAAGGTTACATCTGAAACGAATTGTTATCACAGGCACAAACAGGGGAAGAGAAAAGCAACATTCCGAAAACAATATACACACAACAAGGCGCTTGTTTCATACGCATCATTTCTTTTTCGCCTCGAAAGAAGGAACTTACAGATAATACTAGTAACTGTAAAATCCAGCATCTCGCGTTTATTTTCTTTCCGGTGAGATTTCGTATGGAGATTCACATTTTTTTTAAAAATCATTTCACCCCAAGCAAGTGGATAATGCCACTGTGACGCGAGATAATGAGAAGACTTTAGCCAGGAGAAAGGACAATGAAAGAAGACAGAAGATGTCGACTGGCGTTGCATTTTTTCTAATTTTCAGAAATTGTAAGGAAGCTAGTAAAGTTCTTAAAAAAAAAGTTCCTAAGCGTTACTATTTTTTTTTAAAATAAAGTGTTAGTAAATCAATTGACCGAAACCTCCTTACGATATATATATCGGATAAAATATTAGGAGATCAGCCAATTCCACGGCCTTGCTTTCAACTTTTTGGTATCATCAGGAGGTTTCGGTCAATGGATTTACTAACACTTTATTAAAAAAAAATAGGAACGCTTAGGAACTTTTTCGTATGTATACAACGGTTCATAATTTCCAATCTCTTATTCAAAAAGTTTCTTGAGTCTGGAAATGTCATTATCACTAACTTTTCTTGTTGACAAATATTGCAAATATTATGGCTTGGTTTTTTAAAAGATTTCCTGTTTATCGGATTTTTTAATTTTTTTTCCTTTAATTTTTCCTATATATATGTGTGTGTGTGCGCGTGTGTGTTTGGGTATGCGTGCATGTATGTGTGTGTGTGCGTCTGTGGATGTTTATAACGCTTTTGACAGAGTTCACGGTGTTCCTAGGTGGAGCACAAAAATTGATCCGAATCAGAAATGCTGATCCATCCGAAAAAACAATCATCTTTTTGACAGCTACTCATATATATATATATAAATATATCTATCATATATATATATATATATATATATATATATATATATATATATATATATATATGCATATTAATTTATACTTATATTTGTTTATATACACATAATTAAGAGGAAAAGGAAATAGTCACGCCATTAACTTATTCACAGCGACCTATTTAGAACTGTACCATTAGATACGAAATAGACGTGCCCTTTCCAATCGAATGTGCGTGATTCCGAGTCTTTTGTGAAAGAAATACTTGCCTTCTTTTGCCTGTCATGTCAACGTTCTTTTGGAGGTGTTAAGAGAAGGGCAGAAAAAAACTGACACGGGAAGCAGCTTCTGGTTTCTTTTTTTTCGTTATATATATATATATATATATATATATATATATATATATATATATATATATATATATATATGTTTCATGACAAATGACTGACAAGTTATTTCTGTTATGTTTTTTTTCATTTAGACTCAGTGTATGTGACTGGTGCTCTTGTCGTGTTTGAGAATGACACCTATGTGCAGGGGTGACCCCGAATCTGTCTCTAGAGTCCAATGTGGACAGGGAAAACTGGCCTGGAGGTTTCGGTAACTTCTACTATTGCCTTCTCGTTTTTTTTTTTTTTTTTTTGCACGTGCCTCGTTGATTATTTCACATCGGTTTACGTCAGATATCTCTGTTACTTCGCCCGACAGGGTACGCCATCCAGTTCGATCAATGTATGTAGATGTTGTGAAAATCTTCTTCGTTCAAAGCGCTTTCGGTTCATTAGTCAGCGACTTTCAAGGATTTTGTTTGTGCCATTTTAAAATAGTGTGAAAATTGCTGAAATATTATGGCTGACATCAGACAAAAGCGCTTGGAACGAACTATCAATGCACTAAATACACACACACACACACACACACACATATATATATATATATATATATATATATATATATATATAATAAATAGACAGATAGATAGATAGATATAGATATAGATATATATGAGACAAGATGAAAACATACTGTTAGCAGACGTGTTTTCGTCCTCTGATGAGAGACTTTATCAAGGCCAAAATTCCCTCAGAGGACCAAACGAACCGGCTAAGAACAGATTTTCTTCTTGTCTTTTGTTCCTTTTACAGATACAATTTTTATGTGAAAAGAATTTACGCTCACGCACACACAGACACAAACACACACACACATATATATATATATATATATATGTGTGTGTGTGTGTGTATATATATATATATTATAAAATATGGTTTTATGGTATGCGATATGATAGAGCGTATGTAAATATAATAACGAACATTGAATTCAACATACACACATACACACACACACACACATATATATATATATATATATATATATATATATATATATATATATATATATATATATCTTCAAAAGTTCATATTTAGTGGACACTCATATTTGAAATAAATGTCCTGTTTGTGTATTTTTTTTTTAATTTGAACGGGGTATCAGTACAAAATACAAGTATACAAATACATGTATACAAATACATACACACACACACACACACACACATATATATATATATATATATATATGTACACGTATATTAACGTTTAAGGTAATAAACAGGCTGAACTAAAAAATAAATCCATTAATTCTCTCTCTGTCGCTCTGTCTGTCTGTCTCTCTAATTATATATATATATATATATATATATATATGTCTGTGTGTGTGTGTGCGTGTGTGTGTGTGTAGCGTGTATGCGTATGTACATCTGTATATATATATATATAAAAGGAAGAGGTTATAGTAGTTCCAACGAGAGAAAAGTGTGTATATTTAAAAGAAGTGAGATGACGCAAACGTTTTTAGTTATATGTATTGTTTTTTTTAAATATTATGCTTTATTTTCCATAATTTTTCTACACAGGTTTCTGTTCTCGCGACCGTCTTCAGGCAAAGGGTGGAGATTTCCACATATTATTAAAATAATTAATTTTTTTCTCCTTTATGTTTTTTGACGTTAAATATTCTCTTTTTTTGTGTTAGTAAACTGAATTTCTTTCTTAACAAATTACTTTGCTTATTTTTTGGTGTTCGAAAATAAAACTAGTAGATACAATGCCATCGAGAGATGTCCCTTTCATCAGTAGTTAAATGAGAGCTTGATTGATCATGATGGTTTCCGGTAGCCTAATTGGTAGTATAGATTTGACTGAAGATGCGGTGATAAAAAGTGGTAAAAGTTACTTCGGACAAAAACAAAACAAAACACGACTTTCATGAAAGCAATGAACGCACATAGCACATAAAAGATGAAAAAGTAAGTCATATTTAATTAAAAGGACTTGAATAAGTAATCAAGTCATATTAATAAAGTAAAAGTTTGTAATTACTCATTTAATTATTTGAAATTAAATATAGCTTTTAATTGAGATATAATAAATAAAAATATTTATTTAGAAAAATATGTAATTCAAAATATTACGTTTTCTCTCTCTATTTTTTTTTTTTTTTTTTTTTGCTACCTAAAAATTAAAAGGAATTTTCTTCTTACGACTTTTTAAAACATCATTATAGGTACTATGGCATTTTTATGTGATTTTTTCTTTTGTTTCTTTAAAGTTGGATGTTTATTGATTCATTTGTCTTTTACGACTTATCAACCTTTTGCAAGTTACTCAAAGCCAGAAAATATTTTTAGATTGTAAGAATTTTTTGGAGATAATAATGATTTACTGATATGAGTCCTACTGATTAACCCGTAGCTGGGGGAAGAGGTGGATTCGTTGCCTTTCCCAGGAGAATTTGCACGTAAGCGAATATAACAAACCCGACTGGAATTAGAACTCGGGTCTCCGATCTCCCAACTCCGAGCCATTATCTGTTAAACCAACCGCATTGCCAAGCATCAGCATCTGGTATTCCCAAGCGGTCACCCATCTAGATACTGACCAGGTTTGACGTTGCTTAATTTCGATGATCGTACGAGAACCTGTGTTTCGACTTGATATGACCGTAAGCCGTGTGTGTGTGTGTGTGTGTGCGCGCGCACGCGTTAACATAAAGTTGGACCTCAGGAATAACTCTCCGTTGTAATTACACTCTGCCTTAACCTGCAAGTCACAATGCCATTCCGGCAAAATTGGTCTTTAAAAAAAGTCATTTCTTCGACTGTTTACTTCCTCTTCCTATTTTAAGGGCATGAGGAATCGTTTGAACACACAGTAAAAATCACTATGACACATAATTGTTTAAAGCCTACCTTTGTCAGGTAAGTACTTATCAAAAATATATTTTGACAACGTCTGTATAGGAAACAGACGTTGTACCAAACTCTTTGAAGTGAAAATGGCGTTGGGTGAAGTCGATTTGGGGCTTACTAGTGGGTGGAGTAGACAAACAATTGACGTCTTCATTCGTCTGGCTACGTCTTTTCATTTTTCTCCAGCACCCTCTCTCTCTCTCTCTCTCTCTCTCTCTCTCTCTCTCTCTCTCTCTCTCTCTCTCTCTTATTCTTGCTTCTACTCTTAACCCAGTTGTCTATTTTTGTTTCTCTCATCCCCCGCATCTCATTTCTTCCCCCTCCTCTTCTCTCTCTTTCTGGGACCGAGTGCCTTAGTTCCGCTCTCTGTATTTTCTCTCTCTTTCTTTCTCTGAATCGCCGCTTCTCATCTCTTTCTTTAACTCTGTTCTTCTTACCCTCTCTCTTCATTTCCGCTCTTCGCTCCATTTCTCACTTTCCCTCTTTCCTTTCTCCTTGTCTATCTATCTTTGGGAATCACTTCCTCACTGTGTAGTTTATCTCTCTTTCTCTCTCTCTTTATCTTTTTCTTTCTCGATCTCACTCTCTCTGCACTTCGACTCCTCGTCCCTTACTCTCTTTTCTCCCACTTTATATGTTTTCCTCACTGTCTCTTTCTACTTCTCCTTTCGACCTCGATTCCTCACTCTTTCTTTCCACTTCCGTTACTCACTCCTTTTACTGTTTTCTCCACTTCCTGCATCAAATCCTTACTGTTTTAATCTATTTTCTCTCTCTCCCACTCCCACTCTCTACACTTTCGCTCCTAATTTCTCTCACCCCATCACTCTTTCTCTCTCTCTCTCTCTCTCTCTCTCTCTCTCTCTCTCTATCTATCTATCTATCTATCTATCTATCTATCTCAGTCTGTTCATTTCTATATATCTACATCTCTCTCTTTACATATATATATTCTCTCACACACACACACACACACACACACACACACACACACACACACACACATATATATATATATATATATATATATATATATATATATATATCCACAGATTGAGGAACTGTGATCCTGAAAGTGAAAGACAAAAATAGAAAGTGAGAGGAAATTGGGAAAAAGGCGAATTTAGTATATATATATATATATATATATATATATATATATATATATATATATATAGATAGATAGATAGATAGATATACATATACTAATATATATACTCCCTCTCTCTCTCTGTCTCTCTGTCTCTCTCTGTCTCTCTCTATATATATAGAGAGAGAGAGAAAGAGAGAGAGAGTAGGAAGTGAGTGAGGGGATAAAGAGAGAGCGAGAGAGGGGGAATAGAGAGAGATTTCCACTTTTCACGTCATTTTCCAATTTCTTCTCTTTTTTACTTTTTCTTCTTCTGTCTCTTTGAATCGTTCACTCGCTAGTCTCTCTCTCTCTCTCTCTCTCTATCTATCTATCTATCTATCTATCTTTCTTTCTTTCTTTGAATTCCCAGTCCTCGTCCCTTTCTGTTTCTCGCTCTTTCTCTCTCTCCCCCCTCTCTCTTTTTCTGCTTTCCCGCCTCTCTTCATGTTTATATCTCGTTTTCTGCACTGTCTCTCCTAGACTCTCTCCCTCTGCCTTCCTCCCTCTCTTTATTATTTACATCTCCTTTTCTACACACACTCTCTCTCTCTTAGCTTCCCTATCACTCTCTCTCTCTCTCTCTCTCTCTCTCTCTATATATATATATATATATATGTATATATATATCTTTTGTGATTCTTATCCCAGACATAACATCGATTACACATTTCCTTCCACGTCTACACGTTGCAGTTCTGACTAGTAATGTAGGGACAAGCAGCAGACAGCAACAGAGATCAAAGACAGCCAGACGTTAAATTAAATATAAAAATAAAAACAAAACAGAAAAAAGCAGATAGAAAATAAAATAAGTAATGCTTATATATGTCAAAGTCTAGATTACATACGATGGTCCGCAGTATTTAGTTGTACCTTGGAACAGCTCCAAAATGATGTGTTTGAGGCCCACGATGGAGTTTTTACAACGGCGTCATATCATGTCTTCAGCTGAGTAGGAAGACAAGTAAAACCAGAGAAAGAGTGACTAGGGAAGATAATATTGTTAATGACTGTGGTGAGTATTTGGGATTTTACAAGTACGTAACCAATTTATTGCAATTCTTAAGCGTTAATTTAGGAGAAATTAATTAGTTGGTTCGAAAACCAACTATAATTTAATTATGATTGAGTCTTTTTCTACGGTTTATTTAAAGTCAGAAAATATTTTTACATTGTAAGAATTCGTTTTCTTTAGAGAATAATGGTTTGTTTTACTAATTAACTCATAGTTAGTGGGAGAAAAGGTAGATTTATAACTTTCCCGAGTGTATTTGGCGGTAAGTGAATATAATCTATATAATAACTGCGAATATCAGTGTGAAGCGTAATAGCTGAAATTTTGTATTCCAAAGTTTCCATTACTCGATCGTTTTCGAATTCCGCCATCTTGGCTTCAACTGATAAAAACAAATAAAGGGATACAACTCTCTAACTTTCAACAGCTCATGTTACAGAAATGTTGGATTCCCAAGTTTTCTGTGACTTTTTTAATTGATTTCTTTGCGACGAATGTTTTTGTGCGATAAAAATTTTTATAAATTGGAAATAAATTTGGGAATAATCGAAATTAATTGCCAAATCCAGCGAAAGTCGTCCATGAAATAAAAATAATTGTTTGTACGGAAAATAAGGGCCTACGTTCATCAAGTTGTTTTTAAATTAAGTGGCGGCAGAAGAATTATCCTTGAAATTTTAAAAGGTAAGCTTAAATATCAATGCAATACTTAAAAGCAGCAACCAATTTTGAGTTCTTCTTGAGTTTATTGTTGCTTATCGCATACGGCAGCAGTCTGCCTCGCAAAAAGAAATCTCCACCAACAGAGGACCAGATTGCAATCAAAAGAGCCAAGGCTGCAGCAAGGAAAAGAAAGTCCCGTGCAAATGAGAACCCCGATCAAACGATAGCCAGGAGAGCTTCCAATGCTGAGAATATGCAAAGACTTAGGGGCTTTCTGAACAAGCCCAATCAAGGAACTAGCTTAAATGCTGCCGAGAGGGCGGCTTTTAAGCTAGTATATGTATAATTTTATAGACTCCAAAACGAAACAGATCTCTGGTAATCGTCCGAAGTTTTGCCTTCCAGAATTCTAGCCTCCAGAAGAGTAACTAATTTCGTTTTCTGTTGACATGAAGTTGAAAGATTATATTGAAATGCTAGCTATGCTGCGTGGGAAGTTAATTTACTGTGTGGCGCTAGACAATCTTTCTCGCCATCTTACACATTTATAAGTCTACCATTTGTCCATGCATTGAATATTGCTGCCGCATCTGCTCCGGCTATGTACTTCGAGATTCTTCAGTATCTGGCTATATTTCTGAGATGAGGTATTATGTACATTATTTACATTATTCGGACTATTGTCCGCATCTTTGTCGCCATATTTATTACAACGTTCGGGGCTTCGGTATCTGTCTATATTTCTGAGATGAGGTATTATGTACACTATTTACATTATTCGGACTATTGTCCTCATCTTTGTCGCCATATTTATTACAACGTTTCGGCCGTTGTACACTCCGGCCTTCTTGCAATGTCGAACTGAACCCTTTATTTCGCTCACTGGGGTAGACTGTTCTAGTTCCACGTGCCATGTATAATGGATGTCAGTTATCAGTTATCTCCTGTTAATTCCCCTCTCCAAGTTCTCCACTGCCTTAACTGGGTATTGAACTCTTTGGGTCTTGTCATTGGATCTAACTAACGCCTTTATCCACTGGACAGACAGCAAGAGGGGCGGAGGAAAACAGCATGTAACATACTTAGTGAGCTTGAGTAAATGGATGGCGTGACATTGTTTAGAAAAAATAACAAAGATAAAGTTTATTAAGAGCTACAAGCTACCTGAAGTTGTGGAGAGCCATAATCACCTACGTCCTGAAGGGACACGGTGCATAAAGAAGAAAAAAAAGAGAAAGACGACTATTTTTTTACTCTTTTTGTAACGTTTTTTTTAAGCAAAATTTGTGAAATTGTTTGGGCTGCCGTTTTTTTTTCTTGGCGAAAATGATGTCGTTCTACGGAAAAACTGGAGGTTTTCTTTCTCGATTTATGGGAAGAACTATTCATAATGATTAGCAAATAAGTAGACGCCAAGTAAATATGCTCTTAAAGTAAGCGACAACATTATATGAGTAACGTGAACAAATCCTTACTCAATACAAATGCCATTTTGAGGTATAACTCGTCAGATTCGCTCGCATTCAGAAGTCGTTTAGATGAGTCAGTTGGCATATGGAGAACACCTGTCATTAGCCAACCTGCTTGATTGTTTCTTCCCTCTTCAGCTTAGACTTTCTTTTTTTTTTCCTTTCCTCTTTTTATTCTCTTCCTTTTATTATTGTATTCCTTCTTTTCTTTCATATTTTTCTTTCTGTTTTCAAAACCATCTTTCTGACTTTTATTTTCGCTTCTTTATTAATATTTTTTTTTTACTAACTTTTCTTTAATTAATCCTCCGGTTACCTGTATTTACTACGTTTTCACTGAACCTGTGACTGCACCAGACCTTCAGAAAATAGGCGAACATGGCACTCCCCAACTTCCTGGTCTTTGTAACTCTTGGTAAATTTTCTCTTTTTGATATCTCTCCTAAACTCTGTTCTGCCATCCATTTGCGTTAGGTAGCTTATACGCTTTTTCCTCTGTCCCTCTTGCCTTCAATATATCCTGTTAGTGTCAAATTTGCCGAGCCCTCTTTCCTCATTATGCGCTCTAGAAATTTTAAAAGTTTCTTTCTGATGTTAAATATAAATATTTCTCTAAAACTTCCTCGTTTCTTACATGTTCAGTTCATGGTATCCTCAGCATCCGCCGAGCACGACATAATGAACAAGTTAAGTCACACAGCGCGGTATAATGATTAGCAAGCTTGTCTCACTCAAGCAGTTATCACTGAATAATGAGTTTGATCCTCACTAGGTACCCCATATTTTCGGCCTTCTACGCTTAGAAAATCACCAGGAGCAATTCGACGTGGTGTAATTGTTAGCAAGCTTGTCTCACGAGAAAAAAATCACGATGGAGTAGTGAGTTTGATCTTCACTGGGTTACTTTCGACCTCGAGCCAAATCTAAGCTACGGTTAGAAAATGACCATAATGAACCAGCTTTCCTAGCAATTGAGTCAACATAATCGTTACACTTCATGTCAGCGGGAAAACGCGAGACCAGGAAGGCATTTTGAGTCGGTCTCCTGGAGGTTAGCATCAGCCATACTTGACATTCAACCGGCTAATAACACCTAATAAGCTGTTCAAAAAGACAATTAATATAAATAGCTGACCGTTTCTGGGTGCTCCCGTCTACTTGGGTGGCTAGCTAATCCCAGTTGGAGACGTCTAATGAGGCACATTTGTGTTCTTCAACACCCACAGTTTCTGGGAGACTGCGCATAATCTGTCCTGATCAGTCGTGGAACTCTGCCAATGCACCTGAAGCCCTCCGTCACGATGACTCGTAATTTCGTGTTAACACAACCATAAACGCTTTCTGAATAAGTTAGTATACCTAATTTCATGTGTCAGCAATCTCGTCTGTGATGAAGTGGAAAGACTATATTGGATAATTGCTAAAAAAAAAGTTGGTTTACTTTGTCGTGCTCGACGATTTTTCTCTCCTGAATTTATCTTACATATTTATATGTCTACTGTTCGTCTATGCTTTGAAAATTGCTGTCAAATATGGCCCGGTGCGTCTCTCGTATATTTAGAGATTCTTGGTAAAATGCAAACGAGAATCAGCATTTTTACTGATCTTGATCTGGCGTCTCGGCTTCAGTCATTTTCCTACCACCGTGCAGTTGCTTCCCTCTGCCTTTTCTATAAATAATTTTGTGTTTGGATGAATTCTGCACTATGGTACCTAGACTTTATGGATTTAAGCGCAGTACTAGAACTTCTACCAGCACAAGGTTTTTATCCAACTTTGACCTTCAAATGTAATGTCATTCATTATCTACTATCTTGGGGATTCCTCTTCTGCTATTGTTCTCGCACCTTTATAATGTTTTTCCTTTATTTTAGTCGTTCATACTCGGTAACTCCTTGTGTCTTAGTGGCTTTACTGCCTTGCATTGGGTGATATTATTAAAAAAAATAAGCAAAAAAAAACAAAAAAAACCCTGTGGCATCGTTTTCATGAACTTCCCAATTTTGCTGCATGCTAAAATCGACTCGTTATTGCCTCCTTTACAAATCGACCATGATGAGATTTGAACCTGGGTCTTACATTTCAGTTTTATCGTAGCAAGGTATAAGTAAATTGAAATATTACTAATTTTAGTAAAAATATTACGTATTTTAAATGAAAATATTTCTATTTGATATGACTTTTCGGTAAACATTGATAAACGTATCCGCAATAACATGTAGATTCAAAAGGAATGTTTTTCTAATGACACCGCTATTTTAACTACCTTCACTGTTTGGTAATGTTTATTGTTTTTAAAAGCGATAATTAGAATTGGAAAAAAAAACTAAACATATGATGAATGTGAATTTGTACATTTTTTAGTTCTTGAGAATTTATAATAAAAACATTGAACAATTCATCAAATTGTTTATTTCCAAGAATAATTTTATATTTACAACATTCTAAAAACTAATACAATTCGAACTAATGAAATGCAATATTTATCCTTTGACGAAAATTTCTTCGACACAAGGGTAATCAAAGTCGGTCTGGCAGTAAGTGTTGCGGAACACGCCTAGTCTCGCGTCCCAATTTTAAGTAGGAATCAAATAATAGAGAAAAGAACGCGCAAAACGACTCTGTTCGCGTAATGTCCTTCTCAAAAACATTAAAGATCGGTAAAAGGAAGAAAAGGCAGGCATTAAATAACAAAGAGCAGACCTGCTGGGCATCCCACCCTTCCTGTAAGAAAAGACTACAAAATCAGTGCTTTGGAGTAACCTCGCTTTGATAATCCAGAATCCGTCAACCACTCAGTCTCCATGTCCGACAGCCATAAACGCAGATAATTTCACTTATTTTTCTACACCTTATAAAGAAATAAATGTGAAAACAATTTTTTATTCATAAATGTGAAAACAATTTTTTATTCATAAATTTATAAACATTTAAAATATGTAAACCAACTATAAGGAAATTCTTATTATTTACCATTTTATAAAATTTGAATCAACTGGCAATTAGCCGATGTTCTACCAACCGTTCCAATAAATAATATAATGAATATATAGTATTAAAATAATCTAATAAAGATAAACAGTGTTTATTATTGTGTTGTCGATTGCCATGAACAAAGAAAATGCATGATTTCACTTTCAGATGTTGAAGTTTTATTACAATTCTAATCTTCGCTTTTTTAAAGCAATAAACATTGCCGAAGAGTGAAGGCAGTTAAAATGAAACCGGTGTCCTATGAAAAAACCTCCTTTTGACACTACGCCTTATTGCGGGCACGAAGGTCCATGTTTGCTGATTTTTTTAATTTTTTTTTTCTTTGACATTACTTATGATCATTTATTTCTTACATTTTATTAGTTCTTTCGCTTTTCTTCATCTATTCATTCCCTCACTTTTATTCATTCATCAGAGAACGATATTTTTTATTTATTGTACTCGTTTTCTTAGCTTTTTCCTTTTCTCATTCTGCTCTTTTTTCCTTTCGTTGTTTGTCTTTCTTTCCTTTTATTCTTTCTTTCTGTCTTTATTTCTTTTGTTTTTTCTTCCTGTTTCTCGTTCTTCATTTTTCCTTTTTGCCTTTCTTCTTCAAATGTTTGTTCTTATTTTTTCTTTTATATACTATGCTTTTTTCTTTTTTTCATTTTTTTTCTGTTCCTTTTGTCTTTACTTTACACCTTTCCTCCATTCTTTCTTTCTTGTCTTTCCACTTTAAATATTCGCTGTTCTTTTACTTTTGATTTCTGATTTTCTTTTTCCTTACAATTCTTCGTTCTTGGCTTCTTGTTTTTCTCTTTATATTTTCGTTGTCTTTCTTTCTTTTTTTGTTGTGTTTTTTCTTTCTCTCTTTTTCTATTATTTTCTTATTGCCTTTCGCTGTCTTTTTTCTCAGCTATGCTTCTTTCTATATTTTTCCTTTCTTTCTTTCTTTTCTTTCTTTCTTTCTTTCTTTCTTTCTTTTGATTTCCGTTTTTCTTTCTTCCTCGCAGTTCTTTGTTCTTTCCTTCTTGCCTTTCCTCTTTAAATTTTCGTTGTTTTTTTCTTTCTTTTTTGTTTTGTTTTTATTTCTTTCTCCCCTTCTCTACTGTTTCCCTATTGGCTTTCGCTGTCTTTTTCTAAGCTGTACTTCTCTTTCTTTCTTTCTTTCTTTCTTTCTTTTTTTCTTTCTTTCTTTCTTTCTTTCTTTCTTTCTTTTGGTTTCCGTTTTTCTTTCTTCCTCGCAGTTCTTCGTTCTTTCCTTCCTGCCTTTCCTCTTTAGATTTTCGTTGTTTTTTTCTTTCTTTTTTGTTTTGTTTTTCCTCTCCTTCTGCATTCTTTCCGTCTTACCTTTCGCTGTCTTTTTTCCTTTTTCTAAGCTATGCTTCTTTCTTTCTTTTTTTACTTTCTTTCTTTTCATTTCTGTTTTTCTTTCTTCCTCCCGTTCTTCGCCCTTTCCTTCTTGCTTTCCTCTTTAGATTTCTGTTGTCTTTTTCTAAGCTATCCTTTTTTTTATTTATTTCTTTATTTCTTTCTTTATTTCTTTCTTGATTTATTTATTTATTCACACTAACTTAAATAGTTTCCTTTATTGGAAAAGTAGTTTTTAATCATTATTTTATTCCGTAAAGGAAATCGACCTTCGTAATTTCCCTAAACTGTTAAGCATTAAGGACCCGCCCACAAGCACTTAAACGATATCTCACCCATATGTAGGCAAGACACGCAGACACATGTATATTTGACCTACGGTATATATTTATGTCTATAGCCACACCCACACACGTTATCTCAGTTACACGATCAAAGGCGTCGAAGAAAATAGTTCTGCGGGAATAAAGGCACAAGCAAGAAATTCAGAGAAAAACGTCATAATATATGCTTTGTTAGGGAAAAAAGGGTATCATAAATTGGGTTTAAAGTACCTTATAACGTTTTCGTTTTTAGTTATGAATTTTTCCTGGTCACTTTATATACAACTGAAGTTTCCTGTATGCTGCAGATGTGTGGAACGTGCACTGAATAAAAGCTCGGATTATGAAATCGAAGAGTCGTGTTCAATTTCCAGTCAAGGTCACTGCGTTCACTTAAGCGCAGATAGTCTTGAGGAAAGGGAAATCTTTCATCTTTATAGGTTATAAAATAGGACTTTTATCCGAAAAGAATTCATTATCCCTAAAAGAAAAAGTTAAGGCAATATTTCCACAAAATATTTTTTTCTGACAATCCAAGGAAATTATTTCGGCTTTAAATAATCCACAAACGGTTGATAAACCGTGAAAAATTAATTAATTAATCATGTATATTGTAAGAAGTCTATTTTAACATATAGCTTTAAAACTGACAGAATTAGAACTGAATATTTTTTTATTCCTTAGCATAGCTTTAAAATAGTCCATCTTGTTTCAAGAGTCTTTGATTTTGCATTTGTTAATAATCTTTCGTCTAAACTCTAAAATTTTGAAACAGTTTAATTGTGTTAAAAAAGACAAAAGAAAGTAGCGTTGAACTGCTATGTAATATCAATCCTCCTTTAGGGCAACGAATGCTGAACAATTTCCTCACAGATGAAGAGGTGACTTGAGGCAACAAAGATGTAATTCCAAAGAAAGATGCTTAGAGTAATTTCTTTCTTTCTTTCTTTCTTTCTTTCTTTTCTCATTTTTTTTTCTTTTAGATCATTTTCTTCTTTAGTTTACGAAGCCTTATTTGATTTCTCCTTTCGTCCTTTTCTGGTTCTTTTTTATTTCTTACTTTTTTCTTTCTTTCTTTATCTAATTATTTTTCGTCTTTTTTTTATCGTTGTATTTATTGTTGTTGCTGTTGTTGTTGTTGTTTTTTTGTTTTCTTCTTTTCTTCTTCTTCTTCTTCTTCTTCTTCTTCTTCTTCTCTCCTTTTGCAAGACTTCTTTAATTTCTCTTACCATCCCTTTGTTCTTATATTAGATATTCTTTGTTAGTTTGTTCATTTCTTTCTTTCTTTCTTTCTTTCTTTCTTGCTAATCCTTTTCCGTTTACTTTTTTCTTTTTGGTCATTCTTCTTCTTCTTCTTCTTCTTCTTCTTTTTTTCTTCTTCCTCTTCTTCTTCTTCTTCTTTTTTCTGGCTGCTCCAATCAGAAAGTTCGATATACTTTTGTAATTGAAACATGATTAATTGTTATCCCAATTCGCGAGTCAATCGCAAGGGACCCGGGGCAAAAGAAGTAATCTTTAGACTTGATTAACCCGACCGCTCTCATGTTTAAATAGCGAAGACGTGGGCCTCACTTGTCAATCTCAATTTCTGATGAAACGAAAATCACACTGGATATAATCACGTTTTCATCTTTCCTTTTTTTTCACGGGAAGAATTTTCAGACCTGCGAATAAAAAAAATTTTCAAATACAAGGAAAGAAGAAAATATAAGTAATTCTAAATTTATCCGAAAATAAAGTTGAGATGTTTCAGTATCAAATCAAAGTAACACGAAGGAAGACGTTTGTTTGAAGTCAATATATATATATATATATATATATATATATATATATATATATATATATATATATATATATATATATATATATATATATATATATATATATATATATATATATATATACATATATATATATATATATAAATTTTTGTATGATAAATCTTAATTCTCTCTCTCACTATATATATATATATATATATATATATATATATATATATATGATTTAGAATTCTAACGTCAGCATTTAATTTATTAAAATGTTAATTATTTCATTACTATAAATTTGATATGGCTTTTCCTTCCCTACACACATGCCACCGATCTGCCACTGCGTGGTATGCCACTAGCGTTCACCGCTGGTGGCCCACTGTCGGACCGCTGTCTTACCGCCGGCGTGTCTCGGCAATGTTACCACTGGTGGGCCGGTAGAGGCTTGCGTGTTGGGTTATTATATAAAATAAAATGCTATTTATTAAAAATATTATTTTAATTGAAACATTATTTATTTTCAAAATAACTTTTTTTTCCTAATCACAAGCCAAAATGCACTTCATGACTTTTCTTCGATGATTTTATTTCCTAAGACCTAACAGCCACCTGTGTAAATGCGTTCTGCACACGTGCAAGGAAAAAGAGAAATAATTTTATAATAATAAATAATTTTATCCATAAATGAGCTCAATATTGGCCTTCAATGGTCTGGAATATTCATCTCTTACTCCATACGCCGAAAGAGAAGACAAAGAAATGGCGAAAAACTGCTCAAGTGAATAAAGGCCGTTTGAATTAAAATAACTAAGCATAAAATTCTAATATCACGTCAAAGTAAGTTCCCGCCAGACAGGAAGAAAAGTTACAGGCACTCCGGAAGCGGAAGTTGGAGTTAAAAGTGGATAAAAGCCTTTGAAGAACTCCAAAGAAATCTATGTTGGACCATGGGTGAAATTTATGTCACAGGGTCAACCTGTGATTTTTAAAATGCAATCGAAACAAAGAAAGTAATTGGAAAAGAGTGAAAAGGGAAAGTCAAGCTTTATTGTGAAATGATAAGTATTTTGAACATGTATTGCTTATGATTCAATAAGTATTACCCCAGATAACTATCGAGCACTTCATTGGCAGAGATAGATAGATAGATAGATAGATAGATAGATAGATAGATAGATAGAAACAGACTGAGAAATAGATAGATAGATAGATAGAAATAGATAGATATATATATATATATAGATATATAGATAGATATATATATATATATATATATAGATAGATAGATAGATAGATAGAAACAGACTGAGATAGATAGATAGATAGATAGATAGATAGATAGAAACAGACTGAGATAGATAGATAAATAGATAGATAGATAGATAGATAGATAGATAGAAACAGACTGAGATAGATAGATAAATAGATAGATAGATAGATAGAAACAGACTGAGATAGATAGATAGATAGATAGATAGATAGATAGATAGATAGATAGATAGATAGATAGATCTTTTCTTTTTATGTGGCGTTTCCTTTCAGAATGTAGGCGATCATGGCTCTCCACTTCCTCCCTATCCCTTGCAGCTCTCAACAAGTTCCGTCCATCTGCCACCTCCCCCAGACCACGTTCTGTCATCCAGAAGGATAGGAATGTTTTTTTTTCTTTGTCTCTCTTTCCCTCTATTCGACCTTTGAGTATCAAATTCTCCAGACCATCCTTCCTCATTACATGCCCCAGAAACTTCAGCTGCCTCTTCCTGTTGTTAAGTATAAGCCTCCTTCTTGTTTCATCCTCTCTAAGACCTCATCGTTGCTCCCACGATCGGTCCATGATATTCTTAGCATCCTCCTGTAGAACATCTCCGTCGCCTCACGTCTCTTCTTCATCTTTGAGGAGACCATCCAACATTCGCTGCCGTAAAGGAGGACAGATATCACGCTCAGTACTCTTTTCTTTGGTAACAAAGAAATCCTCCTATCTCGCAATATTTTGCCAGGTCATCTCAATACCTCTACGGATATGGGTGTCGCACTTACCGTCCTAGATATGCAATAAACCAAAATAGTTAGCCTCGTCTTGTTCCATGGCTAGGTGTCCAGGAACAGCAGATCACTCGCGAGTTCTTGTTTTGCTCGCCAGCAGTATCCTACAAAGCATATTCTGTGTTCGCGTAAGTTTGTAGAAATATCAGGTATGAGCTCAACTGGCTTTTTCAACCAATTGTTTATTTAAAGCCGAATTATATTTCGGAAAATATTACTAACAACCATAAATAAAATAAAAACATCATTAATTGGGAATATTTTTTTAAAATGTGTACCTTAAGATGTTCATCGAAATTACAGTTATTCGTTGTTTAATAATAATAATAATAATAATAATAATAATAATAATAATAATAATCGTAATCAAAGACTACAAGAACAGAATGTGCTTTCTTATTGACATGGTAGTCCCTGTAGATTGTAATGTATCTTTGAAAAATTTCAAAAACTAGACCCGGTTATAGTGATAGGACCTGTAACAATTGTATTGGACTTTACAAGACACACAGACAGAACAATCAAAGCTAATCCCGCAGATATTGTCACCAAAGGCCATAATAACAGAATGTGCTTTCCTATTGACATGGCAGACCCTGTTGATTGTAATGTGTCTTTAAAGACCTTAAAAAACTATCAAAATACAAAGATCTTGAAATAGAAATCACATAAATGTAGCATATGATGACATCAATAATTCCAGTTCTCGGATTGATTGGAAAAGCTTTCGAGGGATTCATTGGAAGGGATTCCTGGCAGCCCATGCCTTAAAGAAATACAAAAAATTATACTCTCAAGTACAGTTCACATCCAGCAAAATGCTTCATCTATATAAAATGTGTGTGATCTTAGTTTTTTTTTTTTTTTGATGTTATATTTTTTACATTAATTATCAGTGGAAAATGTCATGAAGCCATTTCTGACCTAAGGTCACTGGTTGCGATCGGGAAAGAAAATATATATACAACAGAAATCAAAGAAAATAATAATAATAATAATAATAATAATAATAATAATAAGCATTATATTCTTTCATCTGTCACATAAGCGTCCAATTCCATTACCATAAGGGCATGCACAAACTCTCTTTCTCTTACACACACAAACACACACACGCACACACAAACACACACACATATATATTTATATATAATTAATAAAAAAATACAATTATTCTTATCTTGAATCTGAAGGGCGTTAAAATCACTAAATTTTAGTTGCTGAAAGACCATTAGCTTTTTTATTTATTGATAAAAACGATTACAAACATTAAAAGCCTTAACCATAAAAAAACGAAGCTTAATAAAATTTAATTCAATTTAGGAACATTTTACATAAATATATTACATATGCATAACAATTAAAAAAAAATGACGCACCACAAGCTAATTCATGACACACAAAGTATAAAATAAATTTAAAACCTTAAACATTTTTACCAAAACATTTTTTACTGAAACATAATCGTTCTTTGACAGCGACTTATATTAGCCAAAAACGCTCACAATTTGAAATATACTCAAATAAATTCTTGATGCCCTGAGGAAATGCTAATGAAACATCATTAACTCCACACCAAATATATATATATATATATATATATATATATATATATATATATATATATATATATATATATAATTATATATATATATATAAGTATATAATTCATATAAATTAATATATATATAGTATAGGTAATAAATCCGTTGGTATATAATTCACATAAATAATTATATATATATATGTGTGTGTGTGTGTGTGTGTGTGTGTGTGTGTGTGTGTGTGTGTGTGTTTGAGGGACACACGCCAAGGCAACGATTTTTATTTTGTAACAAGTGTTTATATACAAGAGTAAAAATGTTATTGGTTTTTAAAAAAAAATTAAGTATAGGACCGCTCATAAATATTCCTCAGCTGAGCTGAAAAGTCTGCCAAGTTATGGGAGACCCGAAGTAATACAATTCAATGCGTAATAAACAAAAGTGAGAAAGTGATGCCAAACGAACTATCCTTTGTGGCCGAGAGGTTAGGCACGTCAAGCTAAATGACGGTTCCGTATGAGATGAAGGTTCGAATCCTGTCAAAGGACGAATATTTTCTATGAAAATTTCTCGGACATTCAGGCCGGTAAATGTTATTTAATACTGTTTATTATAAACAGAGCATTTACTTAAATACTTCTATAAAAAAGAATGTTAAACATAAAATGTCTTTTAATAAATTGTCGGATTTTGTCCAATTCTTAATGTATATATATATATATATATTAAAAATTAGTATTTAAATATATATTATATATATATATATATATATATATATATATATATATATATATATATATATATATATATATATATATATATATATATATATATATATATATATATATATATATATATATGTGAATTTGTGCTCTCGGCATAAGTATGGTGCCTATCGTGATTGGTATATGCCTACCATTCAGTAATTTATCCATCAGTTACAAAAGCACTTACTTACCAACCATTTACAATAGGACAACCAACGCCCTTGAAAATGACTAATAGATTAGCCGAAAGCGCTTGTAACGAACAAAAATTTCGAAAATATCTATACAGACTAAGTCCAAGAAGAAAATCAGGAAAAT